TCTTGTATTTGATTTACATTGATTGTAAAGGTTTTCCTTAAGAGGATTCAGTTGGAATCAGTAGCTCTTGAGAAGACTAAGAACAGTTGTTCTTAGGTGTTACTATTGTAATCTGTTTGATTAAATAGTGGATTAAGTCCTTGTTGAGAAAGGCAAATCACTCTAGGAAGGATGGACTGGAGTAGTTGATTTCAACGAACCAGGATAAAAATAATTGTGTTATTATTTTTAAAGTCTTAATCTTTCATACTTATTCAACCCCCCCTTCTAAGTATTATCTCACCTTCAATTACCACCCAAGCTTTTGATTCTTGATGGTCCAAAAAAGTCCATATGGAGAAGTTCAAGAGGCCTTGTTGTAGAAACAATGTTTTTAGATTTGAATGAAATCCTCTTTTGCTTCCCCATTTGGCAAACGTCACATAAGTGATCTTTTGAAAATTTTATCTTGGGTAGATTGACAACTAGATCCTTTGAAACTACTTTATTTAGCAAGTCAAAGTTGACATGCGCTAAGCGTCTATGCCATAGCCACGAGTCTTCACTCACGGTGACAAGACATTTAGTACTAATCAAAGATACTTCATTCAAGTCAAGCATATAGACATTATTTACCCTCAAGCCCTTAAACATATCATCTTTCTTATCATTGTGTTCAATTATGCAACAATATTTTGAAAATAAACTTTATATCCTTTGTCGCACAATTTTCTAATGCTAATAAGATTGTGCTTAAGACCTTCAACTAAAAGGACGTCTGAGATAGTAGTAAACGGAGGATTACCTACACTACCTTTTCCGAGTATAACACCCTGGTTGTTGTCACCATAGGTTACAAATCCTTTCTTCTTTGCCACAAAGTCAATGAACAAGGAAATGTCATCGGTCATGTGCCTTGAGCATCCACTATCATGAAACCATCTTCTCTCTGTAGATTCAAGGCATTTCACCTGTAAAATTAAACAAGAGAAATAGGTACCCAATTTCCATTGGGTCCTTGAGTGTGAGTGAATCTTTGGTTGCATTTGAGCAACCATTGGAAAATACCTTAAGGAACCAAGAATCTCCTAAACTGGCATTTTGCAATGGTGTGTCCCTTCTTGCAAGAATATCGACAAGTAATGGTAGAATTGGAGTTACTTTTTCTAAGTTGATCTCTTATCACATATGTATATTTTTGATATGGATTATTCACACTACTTCTAAAATATGAACGATCAACCGCAAATATAACTTTAGGTTTTAAAGCCTTGTCTAATTTGACTTTAAGAGTTCTAACCTCCTTTTGCCAAATGTGGCAAGATTCACAACCCCGATTTAACCAAGAGGATTTGTCATCCTCAATTTTAGCTTTTATAGCCTCTACTATTGAGTTCTTAAGAGCTTCTAGTTCCTTTTCAAAATCTAAAATCTTTTTCTCTAAATGGGAGAAAATTTTCTTATTTGAGGCTAATCGTTTGAAAGCCACTTTAGCCTTATGGTGTAGAGTTTCAAAAGCATTTTACAAATAGGAATAAGACATTTTATCAATATGTTCATATTTAGAATGACTTACATCTTTTTTCTTCTTTTAATGAGGCATAAGACAAAGATTGACAAATTCGTCTTCATCACTTGAGTCACTTTCGCTAGAGGACTCACTATCACTCTCCCAAGCAATGTATGTCTTTCTAGGCTTACTCGTTTTTTTTTGTTGACGATTTTTGCCTTTTCCTTTGTATTTCTGCATCAAGGGAAAATTCGGCTTGTAGTGACTGACCTTTCCCCAATTGTAGCATGAACCCTTTGACTTTGAATTCTTATTATCTTCATGCTTTGAGGATTTTGATTGACGTCGAAAGTTGATGAGATTCTTGTCCGTATGTTGAATATTATTTTTCCTGATATATCTATTATATCTTCTCAAGAACAGCCCCATATCTTCATTTGACTCGTCATCATCATCACTAGATTCACTTTTACTAAGCTCTTTGGTTGAGGACCATGAGTTAGAAGCCTTTAGAGCAATAGACTTCTTGTCTGTGTCTTTTGATTTCTCTTTCTTTTCTTTCTTTTCATGTTGGTTAAGACTTATGAGCACTTGCTCGTGTTCATCAAGCTTACCAAACAATGTCGTGATGTTCAATGTCATGAGATCGTTAGCTTCCTTAATCGCCATGACCTTAGGTTGTCATTCCCTATTAAGATATCTTAAATTTTTTTTAGCAGCAACATAATTGGAAACGGGATACCAAGTGCATTTAAACGATTGATTAGGTGAGTAAATCTCTTTTGCATTTTCGCAATGGTTTCCACTTTCTTCATATGAAAGAGATCAAACTCTTGAGTTAAAGTATTGATTCTAGCTAGTTTGACATCATTAGTTCCCTCATGGGCAACTTGTAATACGTCCCACATAATGAGAAACTCTATAATATTCATCAACTCGCAAGGAAGATATGAGAATATTTCTAGCTTTCCAATTATAATTGTACTTTTACTCATCATCTTTGTTCCATTGTGCTTCTGGTTTAGGTACAACAACATTATTCGTATTGGTCATGGTTATTTCAATAGGACCATTTTGAATAATGTTCCATACCTTTCTATCAATAGAATTGATATGCACTCGCATACAACTTTTTCAATAAGTGTAGTTTTTGCCATTAAAAACTAACACTATTATACGCCCCTTTAGGTTCGTTAGCCATTTTCTAATAAGCTATATGTGAAGCACTAGATGAACTGGTGCTCGTGGTACCACTTGTTAGACGACGCCACTTATCTAGAAGGGTGAGGGGTTGAATAGATCACTAATTTTTAAAACTTTGCACGTTAAAAATTTGTTTTACACAATTGTGCGAAACGACCTTGGATCAAAAATCGTCTAAATGAACCATTATTGGATATATCAGATATGCGAAACCGATCCAAATAATTTTGATGAGATAATAACATCAATAATTAGGCATAAGAGAAATAAAGTCCACGACCTTCATCTTCCCAATGGTGTTTGGTGCAATGATGACACTATACTCAAAGAAGAAACACTTAATTTTTTTTAAAGGTCTTTTCTACTCTACATCTCTTATACTCACCACTAGTATGGGTGGCTCAAATATGAATCTGATCCTCATTGAAGAAGCCTAACACTTTTTGAATCAACAGGTGATGAGTGGAGAAGTTACTTATGAACTGAATCAAATGCACCCTTTCAAGGCACCTGACCCTGATGGATTCCAAGGTATTTTCTTTAAACAATTTTGGCATATAGTTGGAGATGACGTTGTCCAACTTATATCAGTTACTACGTTTGGACGTTATCACTCTTGACAAAGCACAATCAATAAAGATGATTATGTGTGATTATTGATGAATGCAATTGTGAGAGAGAAGATGAAGAGCAAGACAATGTATCTTTCAATTTTCTTTTTGTTTTGGAAAATGATGCATATGAGTATATATATGTACATGAATGAGTAATAGAAAAAACTGAGTTTGGGAACACAAAGACATAGGAAAATGGGTAAACACGCGCGAGAGGTCAACCTCTGGCGTTTGTGAGTCGACCTGAACATGGCAGTGACCAAAACTGCACAAAAAAGGGTTCCATGCGTTGACCTACAGCAGGTCATGCGTCGAAGCATGCAAGACAGAAAAACATTAAACATTTTTCATACAGTGTGCGTCGACCTGTAGGAGGTATGAGTCGGCGCAAGAAAGGCAGGAAGTTTCAAAAATCATTTTCTTTTAGTGTGAGTCGACCTATGACCTATGTGAGCCGACCTATAACTTTAAAAATGACTTAAAAACCCATTTTTGATATTGTGTGTGATTCTATATGTCTAATACATGTATAAGGATATTTATGCACATTTGCAAGAGATGAATGCGTGACTTAGACAAAGTGATACCGTTCAAAACACACAAATACTAAATATTTTAGTTTTGACATCATTAAAACAAAGTAAAAGAAGCCTTACCCTCACACATCTCTCTATTAATTAATTAATTAACCATAATTCTAGAGATTGATAGAGATGCCGAAGCACCAAAGCAAGTAGCACGCATAAATGAAGCTCCATATAATATTTATGGTATGATGATGATAATATGATAAAAAAAATGATGATAATATGATAAAAGAATACGATGAGTGAATAAATAAATTTATTAATATATAATTGATTGTAAAACAAATGAATATATGTGATCTGCCCTATGGTGTAATATCTTTTCGAGCAATCTTATTAGTATTTTAATTAAATTAAATGAAAACCAAATTGGTCTAAAAAGGCCAAATAACAATGTATAATTGGTTCTTATGGTTAGAAAAAACACCAATAAATCTCATTAACATTTAGCTAAATTCTCTATTTAGTTTTTTTATTGTATTTTGTTTTATTAGTTTTGTAAAAAAAAACAATATAACTAACCACTATTCAAATAACCTTTTCATCCCTATCTATTTTGTCGGTGGTTTAAACACAACAAGATAACAAAATTGATAACGATGTAACTAAATTCATGCAACGTCTTTCTTCAGCACAAATTGTTGTCATAACTCAATTTATTTAATTAAAAAACTATCATTATCATTCCATATACATCTATTTCAATTTTAAATGAAGAAAACAAATCCACACTCCTTTAGTAAACGGTCCATTTCAAATTTCTAATCACATGCTAATATTTTTCAATTTTAAAAATTTAAATTTCCAACTAATTTCAAACGTCAGAACCAAAACTGCAAAAACAATACATCTGTTAAAAAATACTCCCATTAAACTATACCATGTCAAGTTTATATATTCAGTTATAACAATAAATATACCAAAAATGTTTATAATAATCAACTTAATGATGTTAAATGTATTAATTAAAGTGCTAATCACAGCCTAATCATGGAAAAGAAAAAAAAAACTCATAATTAAATGCTCATTGCTAGTTTTCTACATAGTTTCACTTTCTCTGTAAATCCCGAGAACGCTCTTTGAATTTTTCTTCTTCTTCCTTCTTCAATGGAGTGCACAAAGAGAATAACAATCTCTGAACATTTTCTCTCTTACAGAACAAAAGTCTTATCTGGTTTCACATTAGGTCTTCTAGCTTCTCTCGTTTTTCTAACTCTTCTCTTTTTTAACTCGTCTTTCAAAATTCCCAAACTCCAAGTTTTTATTCAAGGATCTCAATTGAATCGAAACTCGTCTTCTTCATTCTCTAGATGGCATTTTCCGTTTTCCACATTCTCTTCCAATTCCAACCTTTCTGTTACTACTCCTCTTCACACGATTCACGAAGAAGAACAACAACATAGTGTAACTCGGGAAGTGAATGTGTCAAATAAGGGTTTCGAGAATGGGAAAACCAATTTGGGGAATTTGTCTGAGAGTTTGTTGGATCGGGGTAGGGTTGATAAAGTTGGAAACTTGTCTGTTGGGGAAACACGTTTGGGGAATTTTTCTGGAAATTTATTGGATCATGATAGGGTTGATAAAGTCGGGAACTTGTCTGTTGAGGAAACACGTTTGGGGAATTTTTCTGGAAATGTATTGGATCGTGATAGGGTTGCTAAAGCCGGGAACTTGTCGGTTGGGGAAACACGTTTGGGGAATTTTTCTGGAAATTTATTGGATCGTGATAGGGTTGATAAAGTCGGGAACTTGTCTGTTGAGGAAACACGTTTGGGGAATTTTTCTGGAAATTTATTGGATCGTGATAGGGTTGATAAAGGTGGAAACTTGTCTGTTGGGAAGAGTGAAATTGATGGAAAGGGAAACTCGAGTGTTTCTGTGGCGATGGAGAAAACTATAGAGAGGATTGATGAAAAGTGTGATATATTTGATGGGAATTGGGTGAGAGATGAATCCAAACCTTATTATCCTTTGGGTTCTTGTCCTTATGTGGATAGGGATTTTGATTGTCATCTTAATGGGAGGCCTGATAGTGATTATGTTAAGTGGAAATGGAAGCCAAATAAGTGTGAAATTCCAAGGTATGTATGTTACGAAGATTGATTAATGTTTTTTCTTATACTCTAAACTTAGTAATGTTAATGTTGTTATTATAGGAATATATATAATAGTAGAATAGCTAGTTGTGTATATTTTTATGTAGAATAATTGTGTACGATTTAAAATAGTAATTTAAGAGAAGAATGGAATTTGAGGCTTCTTGGTCAACTTTTTTTGCTGAATATTAAAATAGTAACCTGGTCTTCTTAGTAGAAATGTTTCATAGTTTTGGATACAAAGCGATAGAATAGTGTTGAAAATGTATTAGTGATGTTGGACTTTGTTTGAAGTCCACATTGGTTAGGTTTCTGGCTCTTGAATGTATAAATATTTAAGAGCAGCCTCACTCTTTGAGCTTGAGGGATGAGATCCAAACATATTTAATATGGTATCAGAGTCTGGTTCCAATCTAGAGGCCTGTGGATTATGGGCCCACACACCATTTATATGTGCATCAAACCCAATAATGTTGGGCGCAAGTGCAGTTGCGCAACCACTGCTGCAATTTAGTACATGAAAGAAATTGGATGATAAAGGGAAGAATGGTTGCCTTATGGTGTTATTGTGTTGATATCACTGTAGGAAACCAAGAAGTGATGGGGGATTGATACATTTCCTGCATTTGGATTTTATTTTTATCAAGGGAATAAATGACCTATAAATGATTATAGGTGTCAAATTGAGTTAAATGGTAGTATGATCCCTAGAAATGTACCTCATGTTAAAAATTATGGTATATTTCAGTCCATAAACTACAAATTCATTTCTTATTACACCTTACAATAGATAACAAAAGATGAAAGTTAAGCAAGTTTGAATAATTTTAAGGACTGAAGCATGCATTATGTTCATGGAGGTTATAAATTCAGAGTGAGTAACCTTATGGGGGATCACAATGCTTCTTTACATTGAATCTTTATTTACAATTGCATAAATTAAGTAGTACAAATTTTGAGTTAGTATAAACAAAATTTAAATTAAAGGGAATGCTATCCCCCTCCATTAGCCACCCTTTTGGAAAGGAATTAAATATGCGATAGAGTTATCTTCAATCTCTAAACATCTCTAATTCAAACAAACTCTGTTTTGGAGTGTTAATAATGATACGTACTAGTAGGCTGTGTTTTAATCTAAGTGTTGGTTTACAATCATTTCAACTATAAGCAAACCAGTGATTGTGACTTTCATTTTAAACCATAGAATATATGAATGTTATCCTTGTATATTTATCAATTATTGATGTCACCTTTCAGTTTGAATGCAACTGATTTCCTGGAAAGGTTGCGAGGACAGAGATTGGTTTTCGTTGGGGATTCACTAAACAGGAACATGTGGGAGTCCATGGTTTGTATTCTACGTCAAAGTATCAATGACAAGAAACGCGTTCACGAAATTTCAGGAAAAAGGAGATTTAAGAAGAAAGGTGTCTACTCTTTTAGATTTGAGGCAAGCTTCTAGGACATCTTTGATATTTTTCTTCTGAGTATTAAACTTGTAAGTTGTAATGGCATCTCAATGATATTTTTTGTGTGGTTATTTATAGGATTATAATTGTTCAGTAGATTTTGTGAGTTCAACATTTATTGTACGAGAGTCGACTTTCAACGGCATAAATGGGTCTTTTGAGACATTAAGATTGGATTTGATGGACGAGAAAACTATCAGGTATCATGATGCTGAGATCATAGTCTTCAATACAGGGCATTGGTGGACACATGAAAAGACATCTAAGGGGTGAGTCTGTCTTTCCTGCCTACTATATTATCATAGTTTTACTTTTGCTAAGTTGTTTCGCCAAATTTCTTTTCCAATCAAGAAATTAATCCCATGTTGTGCTCACCATTTGTGATTTTCATTCGTCATCTGGTAATGTTACAGAGAAGACTATTATCAAGAAGGCAACCATGTATATCCAAGACTCGAAGTTTTGGATGCATATAAAAGAGCATTGACCACGTGGGCTAGATGGATTGACAGCAATATTGATCCAAATCGAACACATGTTTTCTTCAGAGGATACTCAGTTACCCATTTCAGGTATGGATCTCTTACATAGCTTCCAAAGTCTGATTGAATCTGGACTTGCTATTGTTAACTTTGTAGCTCAAAATTTATATTTTGTTTAAAAGTTATGAGTTGTCGTGCATACTTGTCGATCTTCTACAAATGTTTTTACGTTTATTAACTCACCTGGCTTTTATTCGAAGAACAAGATATCTGAACATTGCTCGTGATTGATTCATATATTTCCAAAAACTAGTGATATTCATTTAGTATGCCTTAATGAATTCTAATACTGTCTGACATGGTTTCATTTCAGTGGTGGCCAATGGAATTCAGGAGGAAAGTGCCACAAAGAAACCGAGCCAATATATAAAGGAGATCATTTACGGAAATATCCCTCGAAATCGATGGTTCTAGATCATATCATCCCAAAGATGAAAACTCCAGTGATTTATATGAACATAAGTAGGATGACAGATTACAGAAAAGACGCTCATCCTTCAATATACAGAATGGAATACAAGACCAAAGAAGAATGGGCCACTGCAGAGCAACACCAAGATTGTAGCCATTGGTGCTTACCAGGAGTACCGGATACCTGGAACGAATTAATCTATGCATCTCTTTTAAAATATGGTAAAGGCAATTGGAAAACCTGAGAAATGAGAAATCTTCAGGTACCACGATTCTGGTTTATTATACACATCGAGTTCAAGATTCAACACATGTATATTCCTTGGTTTCCACTAAAGGGTGTCTTGAGTTATGGGTTGTGCAGATGAATAATTAGAGTGACAAGTTTATATGTAATTTGTGTATTCATCTGGTTGCAGACACGTTTGTCATAATATTATTACCATGAAAGCTAAAGAATTTGTCGATCAAAGGCCTGATTTGATTCTGTGTTTAATTCATTCATATTTTATCTATCATTCCCTCATCTACTCTTATATAATCACCAAAATCGGATCAACCATTTTCACGCCGTCTCTATCTCTATCTTTACTCATCATTTTCTCTTCTCTACACTTACAAATTTTTAACTAGGCCACTACTAATGATTTTAACCAATGATTAATGATACTTTAACCTAATAAACGAGTCGAAAATAAACACTTGCAGATATTACCATTTGTACCTTGACATCTTCATTATACATGAAATAAAATAATGTATTTTTAACATGAATAACACAACCTTTATTCATATTAACTACTGAATCATATGATAAAACATTATTAAATTTTCTGACTCCAAATTACTGGTGGGACATGAAACATTACTCATAACACAAACAAAGAAGCATACATTCATGTGGAAAAAAGGACAACAACACAGAAGAAAAGAAACAGAAATTAATGATAACAGTTACCTACCTTACACGCAGAAACTGAAACAAGAAACAGACTCTAGGATCAGCTGCAAACTGAGTGAATTTGAAGTACATCACAAAGTTGGAAACTTCTCAAAGGAAGACAACACCATCTTTATGTTTATTATTACATTCTACTACAAGAAGAACTATAATAATCTATCAAGCACAGACACCACACGTGTCAGACACCAGACACGCCTTCAATCTGAAGTGTAAGTACTGTACTCCATAGATGATAATAACAGATAGAGTGATTGATACATAGCCATTAAGACTCCAAAAAGGAATCCATTGCCTTTTTGTGACTTGCCGGTTTGCCATACAATAACCAAAGCTTCTGATCCTTTAGAGAAAAATGCTTAATTATTTGCTTCTGCTACTCAGAAAAAAGCACATCCCTTTTTGATATGAGAAGCCAATAGCCAAAGCACAAAGCAAACTGTTTATGTAAAAATGGAGGGAGAGTGTAAAGGGTGATGTAATTAGTACTAATGAGCAACTAATTAACCCTCTCACACTTTCTCTCCATGTTTGTTATTAAGAACCATGAATTGATTTTTGCCAACAAAGAAACTTCATTGCTAATAACAAAGATTCAAAGTTTTGATAATGGATTGGTTTAGAGGATGGTTAAAGGGCTCCACAAGAGAAAAGTAGTGGGGAAGTTGGTGTCTCTGATCATTGTTTTAAATACTTGTGATGGTTGAGAACTAGTATAAGAAAGTGGTGAGTGTATGTATCATTCTTTTTCATTATCCAATATGACTATTTAACACCATCAAAAGTTGCAATGTATAGCCACTAACATAAAAGAAAAACAGTACTACTGTTTTTCCATTAAAATAATTCAAATGGATTAAGACGTTTTTTTTCATTCATTCAATCTTAATCTTTAACCTAATGGCCTAACCTTTTGTTGATCTCAAAATCTAATATTAACCATAACATACCTAACCTACCCTAACTCAATTTCTTTTACCATTTTATTTTCTTTCTAACCGATTTACACATAAATATAACAAAAGAAATTTGTAAGTTTGTTGTTAGAACAAAAACTAATATAAAATATTTTAAAAAGTTAAGAGATCAATATAAATCTTTTTAAAATTAAAGGATTAAAATGAACCTAAAAGATAATTATGGAATAATTTTTTTTTTTGCCTATTAAATTTGTATAACAAGGCATTTTAGAGAATCATGCCAATTTTCCATAGAAGATATGTCTAATTGAAAATTTGTATTGATACAAGAAAAGGTTATAAATAAATATATCAAAGTCAATATAAACTTTAAACATTGGCTCCCACACTTTACTTTTTTTCATTTATACTTGACCTTTGATAATTGGAGGCTTTTATTGCATAGTGGTTCCACTCACAAAAACTCTATCCCCACCTCTCTTCCAACAATAATTTTATATCTTGTTGAGTATGTTTAATATAACTCTTAATTAGATAAGAAATACCTATCCTTTAATTTCTAATAAAAATATTAATAGTTTATTTGTTTAAAAAAATGAATTTCTTAAAGCTGATATCAAACTATAGGCCTCTTTTGTTACACTAGAATGATTTATAATTGAATTTGACGTATTTAGTTCATCTAAATTATAATTGACTATATTTTCTAATTTTATTAAATATTTATAACTTTTGAATTAAAATATAATTACTCAAATTAAATTTAATATTTAATATTTATACTGTTAATTCATCACCATCATCCGTATACATTATTTTACAAATTATTAAGATAAAAGTCAAATTTTTTTTATCTATAATTAACAAATAGTATAATTTTTTTTTTATAATATCAGTATATTTTAGTTAAATCCTTAAACATATATTAATTCATTTAAATTATTTTTAGTTAGAATTAATTTTACATCGTGATAACCAATTTTCATTTACGAAGCACAACTTTTTTTTAAGAATAAATTTATAGTGTCTGATATGTGTTGGTGTCTCACACTAATATCACATTCGTACGATATCTGTATGATATGTTTCAAAAAAATCATACAAATTTTTTTTTTCAAATTCTTTTTCTTTTTTTATTCAAAATTTCTTAAATCGATGTTCGATACTCGGATAATATTCATACCATATGTGTCAGACAATTCAAATATATATTTCAAAAATAAATAATTTTTTTTCTTCGACACTTACACACCTTTATATATTTGAATATATTTCACATACATTTAAAATGATTAAACATATATTAGAACAATGTTAACCATTGAAAATTAAAAATATTAATTTTAATTATAGTATTTTTTACCTCTTTTAATAACAAATAAATAGATAAATTTCATATTTCTCCTTTCATATTTCTAGGAGCCATTTTTTAATTAAAAAAACTCTAGGAGCCATAAATTTCAAACTTTATGTTTTTGTGGAAAGTGATTTATCACCATCAAGAAGTAAAGGAATAACCCAAAGATTTTATAGAAGCCATTAATTTCAACTCTAGCTTTTATTGAAAGTAGCAGTCAATAGCTTGAACTTACCTTCAAGAGTCATTGCCCTTTCACTAGCCGGCTTTAGGAATGACTCAAAAATTGCAGTGATTTCCTTCTCAGATATGCACACAATCATAGCACCTAGACTATCCATTATTATTCAATTAACCTTTTCATTTGCCTCTTCTTTAAGCAAGAAAACAAAATATTTATCCCTTTTTTAATCTTACTTTCTTGTTACTATAAAGAATTCAGTAATCTATGGTACTCCTTCGTTCTACAATGAATGATTCATTTAAAATAAAATAGTGTCTCAAAATATATGATCTATTTTAATTTTTAATAAAATTTTTTCTATTTTACTTTTTAGTTAATATTATTTTTATCATTTTCAATACATCATAAGGGTACTTTCAACATTCTCAATATATCACAAGAGTATTTTAGTAAAAATATGATTCTCTCTTATTTATTTATTTATTTTTTTTAATCGATGTGAAAAATTAACTGAATCACTTATTATGGAACCGAAGGAGTACTTTGAAATTAAAAGTCGCAAAATGAATCCAACATGCCCACATGTTAATTTTATTTATATTTTTTGAGAATTTGATTAAAATTTAAAGTCAGTATAAGATATTTTATCCACTCTATTTCATTTTTTTAAAAATTTTTACAAATATAAACATTAACAAAAAGTTTTATGATTTTTAACCGTTAGAGTGCAAGGCTTGCATGACTGTTCTAAATTGAAAGGTCAACCCTAATTTTTCAGAAAAGTAATTTGATTCTTGTTGCTTAAAAAAATCAAAACAATGATTCATTGCCTTTCATAAATCAAATTAGAATCTATCATTATTGTTCACCACTTTCAATTGGACAAAGGAGTATCAACAGAAAATGTTATGTGGTCCTAAGTTGATTCATATTTGTAATCAAGTTTTTGGGTCCCTTATACTTCAAAATTTTCCACGTTTAACTGTTAATACAGTTTAATTTATGTTCAAACGTGGATGATTTATTGATTAGTCATCATCGTAGTAATTATAGATATGGTCCATCTACTTTCCACGTGCCATTTGAAGCCATAGTAGATGTATTTTCTATTATGTGGTTTCAATTTTGAATGAAACTTATGGGGTCCTTGTTTTCATTATTTTTGGTTCGACAAAACAATATCAAATCTCACTTGTGTGTTATTTGTATAATAATTCCTAGGTGCTATTTTGATATTCTTCGATGTATATTTTTATATATGACCATCGGTCAAAAGTAGCCATTGGCAGCATTTTAAATTATTATAGAGAATATACAAGTAGGATGACAAACAAGCATGTTCCCATTAATTTTGTTTTGCAAAAGATTATAAAAAAGTGGGATAGAATAGGATGGATATTGTGTAAAATGCAGGTTAAAAACTTTGACTAATCTAAAAAAAAAAAAGCAAGGTGTAGGAACATATGAGAGAGATTTTTACGAGAAGAATACACAAATTAATTAAGATGAATTAATAAAGAATTAGGGTCATTTGGAAAAAATGAAGTTAAGAATTGAGAGAGAAAAATAGAGACAAAGAGAGTAATTGAGAGCGATAATGAAAATTGACATTAACAATAATTGAGAGCACTAAAAGCCATTTATACATCAGTTACAAATCAATGAAAAAAGCAAAACAACTTAAAAATAAGCTGAAAACTGAAAATGCTACAGTGCTAACCGGTTACCATAATCTGGGTAACTGGTTACACCCAGTTGAAAACGCCACTGCCTCTAAAACGACAGCATGTAACCGGTTACACCAATAGAAATGGCAAAAAAAT